GGGAGGGGCGAGGGCCTCGCCGAGAATGTACCAGGACAGGAAATTAACCGGCTGTTCAGTCCCAGGGGGGAGGCGGGAGCGCTGAGCGTGGCCCAGCGGAGGTGCCACGCGCGGCCCCACCCGGACAGCTCGCTCCTGGGACCCGGCACGGAGACCTGTAGTGAGCGCTGGGCGACCCAGTTCGGTTACCCAGAGCAGCTCCGCACCCCGGCGGTTTCCAGGGCCGCGCGCCCGGTCCCCCGACGCCCGCCAGGTGCCAGAGCACGCTCCCCGCGCGCCATCTCCATTGCCAAAGGGAGCGCAGCCTGGGTCACCGTGGCTTTGCGCCCGGGGCAATCCCGGCGGGCTGGGGNNNCGGGCTGGGGGGGGGGGCGCACCCGGGGTGCCCATGGGGTTGGGCAGGGCGCCAGCGGGCCCCAGGGAGCTCCAGGGTGGCTGGTCTTCCTCCCTCCCAGGCACCCGCATCTCATGGAGGCCTGCGGCTGCCAGGCCCCCTGCTGTGGCCCCAAGGAAGGCCCGGGCCAGTCAGCACTTTCCATGTTGGCCCCGAGCTGGTCAGGAACTGGCACCGATCTGCTGCTGGTCTACGAGGCCCAAGGGACAGGCGCCGTGGCCTGGGGTCAGGAGGCCTGGGTTCCACGTGGTGTGGCCTCAATGCCAGCGCCCCCACCTCTCTGGACCCCCTGCGCCCCATCTGTAAACTGGGAAAAAGTAAAGTATCACCAGCTATGGGGGAGGTCCACGGAGCCAAGAAACCAAGCAAAAAAATCATCTCTTCCCTCTTAACTCTCACTCCCTCCCTCCCCCACCAACCTCCCAGCTCTGGTCCCCAAGGGAGCAGGTCAGGGAGGCAGCAAGGCTGAAAGGACAGCAGGGCCTGGTCCATTTAGCTTCAGACACAGGATTTCCCTCCTCCCCGCCTCCTAGCTAAGGAACTTTTTAGAGAAGTCCCCACAGAGCCACCAAGCTGCTGGCTATTTTGGTCCAAATACCCTGGAATTGATAAGCTGGACCAAAATAACCCGAGGAACAGCTGTCCGGCAACAGGCCCCGGACACCCGGCCTTGGCCCCGGCCCTGACGCGCACTGATGGAGGTTCAGACTCTAAAGCCACAGAGCTAAGCCCTAGCCTTTGTCCAAAGGTACATGGAGTCTCGATGCCAGTGGATCAAAAACCTGAGCCTCTGGGCCTGAGCCAGTGGCTCCACAGATGAAGTTTGGAGGAGCCCCGGGAGGGGTGGAGCCCTGGAGAGGGCGTGGAGCTTTGAGGCACTTGGGGTCTTGCAGCTCTTTCCCTGCTTCTAAGCCAGGCCTCCACGCCAGACCCCCTGAGGCTTCTGTCTGTGTCCCCTCTCTTCCAGGGTCCCCAGTTTGCGTTTGTCTTCCCCAGCTGCAGGGGCTCAGCACCCTTGAAGGGGCAGGGGCTGGGGCAATGGCCCGAATCCCCCCGAGTGAGTGAGAGTGCCCAGCTCTCTGCAGGAGGCATGAAGGCAGAGTCAGACCAAGTGCAGGCAGGTGGCAGAATAAACAGTCCTCCCTGTGCGGCTCTCCAGGAGCACCCTGGAATGATCTGTTAGGCCCCCCACCTTCCAGTCTCAGGCTTGGTTCCCGCTGCTTGGTTCCTGAGCCTGTTTATCGCTGCGGGGAGCCCTCAGCATCATTGCTTCAGGCCACCTGCGCTTGGTTGGGCTGCCGTCTTGCACGTGTGGCCGGGCGCCTGTGTGTCTGAGTCTTCGCAGCCTGCCCACTGGTCCGCTTGGCTGGAGCCCTGGCCTGGGGGTCGGGCCCCTAGGCCTGGGCCTGGCCCCACAACTAGCCACAGTGCCTTTCCTGGGCCACTGGACCTCTTTGGGGAATACTTCCCAGCCTGGGGTCCCTGGGCCCCTTGAAGATAAACTCTTTCTAGGATTTCAAAAAATGTGCTGAAAACCGGGCCTTTACCTATGAGGACGTCCCCCCACAGTAAATGCCGCAGTTCTGGACAGGGGACTCGGTGGTCACCCTAGTTCTTCGGGGCTGACCAGAACTAGTCACCCTAGTTCGTGGATGACTGATGAATGAAGACAGCTGAATTTCTACTGAATAAATGCATTGCATGTAGCGAGGGCTTGCAAACGGGGGGATGCATGGTAGTCAAATAATAAAAGGGGTCCTTGGTAATAAAAATGTTGAGAAATAACGCTCTTGGCCTTGATTTCCTCATCTTGAAACTGGAAAGAAAATGCCTTCTCTCTCCCCTGCCACAGATGGCAGGAGGCCCACGTGGGGAGACAGTGCTATGGGATGTCACCTGAGAAATGTTTGGAACATGCTGCACATAAAAGTGGCCATTGCCAGGCTGGTGTGGCTCAGTGATTGAGCGTCAGCCCCTGAACCAGGAGATAGTTTGATTCCCAGTCAGGGCACATGCCCAGGTTTTGGGCTCAACCCCCAGTAGGGGGCATGCAGGAGGCAGCTGATCAATGACTCTCTCTCCTCATTGATGTTTCTCTCTCTCCCTCTCCCTTCCTCTCTCTGAAATCAATAAAAACATATTTAATAGTGGCCATAAGTCTTGCTATGGCAGGAACTCCTTGCTTCTTGCTTTGACTGCCCCCCCCCCAAGTCCCTTGAATTCAAATTTAAGCATTTTTTTTCCATTAATACTAGCAGGACCAGACACGGCTGAGGTTCGTGGAGAGCAGGGAGGACTCCCATCTTCCAGGATCCCCATCCCTTAGGGAAAATTCGAGCTCTGCCACCTCTGATTTTCCCCCAGCAAGGAAAGCATGGCTGTGACCTCGGCAAGGTCGCTCGGTGAGCCAGTGACAGCTGCTGGAAATAGAACACAGGCATCCTGACACCCCAGCTGCTCCACTCGCCCTGCTCCCTCCCCGGGAAGGGGCCTCTTAGAGCTCGAGAAGAAACACTGCAGGGGACTGGAGAGACCTTCAGAGACGCAGCCCATCAGCTCGTGTCTGTATTTAGTCTCAGAGTCAACACAGTTTGTGATTTTCATTCAGGAGGCTCAAAACGGGGGTGTGGCAAACACCCAAGGCAGCCTGATGTTTTCTAAGCTGACATCAGCCTTCCCCAGCTGGCCAAGCCCAGTTCTCGCCGCTGCTCTGTGCTCGCCCAGCTGGAGCACTTCCTGTCTTGTCTTGTCTTGTGAGTGGCCCATGTCTCACTCCCCGTGAGGCCTTGGGGAGCTCTGTGGACAGTGGTCCCCAGGAAATCCCCCAGGGGGGGCCTGGCCCCTATAAGCAAGAACAGTCCAGTAATAAGATTTTCTCCTTTGGTTGCCAGACTGACCTCTAAATTAGCCAAAATCCTAGGCCCTAAACTGTAAACGAGATGAGGCCCGCATGGTACATACATGCAGGAGTATGGATTCAGCTGCAGGCACTAGGTCTGAATCCTAACAGCGTGGCTGGTGGTGTCATTTGGTTCCCGTTGCGGATCGCCTGTGATGAGCAGCACCTGGCTGACCCAGGTGGGAGCCATGAGGACACCCCACGGGCCCCAGGAAAAGAGATGCACTGTGGCGCTTCGCCTGGGGCAGCTTTACTTGAGAGACCCAGCTCTGCATTCATCGGCACCGCTGTGCCTTCCCCTCAGGCTGGCCAACCCCACCGGCTGAGCCCCCCCCCGCCACCAGCAGGGGGCACCCTCTGCCGCCTGCGCCACGGAGAGCGGAAATCTTACCCTCAAGCTGGCCTTCTCCCCGCAGGCTGAGGGGCCGCGAGAGCCCAGTAAAAACATGCTTCTGCTCTGCTCCTGCCTCGCAAGCCTGCACCCACTCTTTAGAAAGGCTGCTGCCCCTAGTTTTAGTCCTGGGACCAGGAGATGGATCTTCAGCCAGCCTCAGTGGGAGGCAGGGTGGTGGCAGGGGTTAGCAACATGGGCTTGGGGTCAGGCAGGCCCAGGTCAAACCCTGGCCCTCCCGCTCACTGGCTCCGCCGCCCTGGGCAAGTTACCTAACCCCTCTCAGCCTCAGTTTTCCCATCTATGAAGTGGGTATACTTACTAGTGCCTGCATCACTGGGTGGCTGGGCGGATTAAGTGAGATATCTATTGAGTGCTTAGCAGTGAGACTGACACAATATGGTAGCCGCGTAATTATCAAGTTCTCTGTCTTTTCACGGACAGAGGTGGTGTTCTTCAGGTAAAGTATTGAAATGATGCCCGGCTGGTGTGGCTCAGTGGTTGAGCACCGACCCATGAGCCAGGAGGTCATGGTTCAATTCCCAGTCGGGGCACATGCCCGGGTTGCGGGCTCGATCCCCAGTCGGGGGTGTGCAGGAGGCAGCCGATCAATGACTCTCATCATTGGTGTTTCTCTCTCTCCCTCTCCCTTCCTCTCTCTGAAATCAATAAAAACATATTTTTAAAAAAGCCATGCACTGAGAGCCTACCAAAAAAAATCAAAGTGTTTGTCTGTCTGGAGTTTATTTGTTAGGGATGCCCTGACATTCCAGGGTCAGTTTCACATAGTAA